AATTTTTTTAGTTTTTTTAAAAGAACATCATTAAAAAACTAGAATAATTCTGGAATTTTCAAAACTTAATTTTGTTTAGTTTTTGAGATTAGATTTGCTTTGCACGCAGAAATTGTTGTGATAGACAATGTTTTGTCAATGCGCCATAAGGAATGCAGTGCGCCATTGACTTGCATGCATTTTGACCGCCTCCATAGGAATGCATGGTTTTCCCATAGACCGAGTTCTGGAACGTTCCAAACTTTTGATGATATCTTTGGAACCACAAGTCAAAATTAAATGATTTAAAGTTGTAAATCAAGTAAAATAGTAACTCTAACTGACAGTATTTTTTGTTTTTAAAAACACTTTAACTTTTTCAGAAAAATCAGTCTCGGAAAAAGTGATGACAGAACTTTTGGCCCACCCTGTATAAGAAAGTCTTATACCAGTATGAGAATTTTAGTCATTCTCATAAACTTATGAGGCATATTTTTGTGTGTGTATAATCAAAGTCATCTCAAACTGCAAACACAAAAAAAATTTGTTTTTTATCAAAAACAAACACTTATGTTAGTATTTTAGTACACCACAAACAACAAGTTTTTGAACTTGGAATGAACTTATCCAAAAATGCTAAAAACTCAGTTGGTTTATAAAATACATTTATAAAGTATTTATGTAAATAAAAAAATTAAAGTTTACTCACAATTTCTGGTTTATCAGTAAAAAACTTAACCTTGGTTGCTTGATACATAAATTTAATGCAGGTGCATTTGATACATTTGATACCAGATACATCCTGTTACCAATTGTAATCATAAAGTTAACATTTTAACAACACCTACGTTTTTATGAACAACATTTTTTTTGTAGATTATCAATATCCTTAAGTGCGCTTGTACAGTTTAAGCTTAAACACACACAAAATTTACTTCTAAATGTACTAAATACTCAGCCAACGCCTAGTNTAAAGTTAACATTTTAACAACACCTACGTTTTTATGAACAACATTTTTTTTGTAGATTATCAATATCCTTAAGTGCGCTTGTACAGTTTAAGCTTAAACACACACAAAATTTACTTCTAAATGTACTAAATACTCAGCCAACGCCTAGTTGCAAGTTTTTTAAAAGTGCAGTTGTGTAGCTTTATAATAGCTGTTTAATACTTTTTAGTTAAACCTCACCATCAATCTGCAAACACCGTTCTGCATTTTACTCAACATTTAATTAACTTAACTTTAACGCTAGTGAAAAAAGTCAAATAATCAATTTTGTTAGTTTTTTAAACTTAAAGTTTTGATTGTAATTTGTTGACAACACATTTAAATTTATTTTTTTTGTTGTGATTAAAAAAATTAAATTAAGTAAGTCGACAATTCTTAATTTTTGTCATTTTAATAAATGTGTTCTAATTTTTTCTAGAATTAAAAATGTTGTTTTGGAAAACTTTATTTATTATTTTTTTTCTTTAATTGACACACAACCCAATACCTGCAAACGTGCGGGAAATTTTTTAAATGAGCATCCAACTAAACGAATAAAAACTTTGAAAAATTTACAAAACCCTTTTCAACTAAAATCATGCGAAAATTCAAAAAATTTAATTTATTTTCAAAAATTGGCAAATATTAGGTTTTCAAATGAAAAGTATATGGATATCATAAAGAAAACACCGAAACCATGTTTGAGAGCCAACAGTGCAAAATTCAAAGTTTTAACAATGACAAAGAAATTTTTAAATCTATGGAAACAATGAGTAACTTGGAGTTTTTTAATTTAGTTTCAAGTAGAAAAACTTTATATTAAACAATTCTTAATGTTTTTGCACACCATGATAAATATAATGATAAACCTGATAATCGTCAAAAACGCTTTGCTAATATACGTTCTTACAAAAGTTATTTTGTTTTTACAATTACGCAAGGAATGGAAACAATAATTAATAAATTAAAACAACTTGATTTTAACAAAAATTTTAAAAACATTTTGTCTGAATTTGAATATCAAATTTTAAAAACAAATTTGATTTATGTTGGTGCTGGACAACCCTCTAGACTATATGATCATGTTATTCAGACAAATTACATTTTACTTGGTCAATATGTAATTAACCCTCAAAAACTTCATTTATTTTTGGCCAGAGGAGTGATCCAAAATCACTTTAGTAAAATTATGATAGTTCCGTTTTTTGGCTCCAACCACTACCCAGCTGTCCTTTACAGTGTGCAAGCAACAGCTTGGGTGCTCAGAGATCATATTATAAATGAAAAAAACCATATGGAACTTGGCAAACTAAAACATAAGCTGTGTGTTGAGCCAAGTTATCCTGAGCTTTATTTGAAAAACTGTTTTTCAACTCAAGCTTTACAATTTGTCGCTGATTACAGTGTCAAAGCTGGCATTCAGCAAATTAAAAAATTCGGAATAATTTTATCGCTAACAAATCCAAACCAAAAAAAGGTTTGGGAAAACCAAGTTAGTTTTAAGACTCAGCCTTACATCGATTCGACTTTTAGTGTGACAAAAAACACTACTTTATTTTATCGATTTGGACTGCCATTTTATGACAACGAAAATATTAATCTTGTAACTTTAAATTCAAAAATACCAATTGACCACAAACTTGCGGATTTCTGATTTTATAGATACTCTCGTTCTGTGTTTATTGATCAACTCAAGTGCCTTGGTAGCAATTTCTGTTGTTAGTAAGACGTTTTTTATAATACCTTTTGTTGCATTTTTGTATTCTTGGACATGAAAAGGGCCAAGCAAATGTTGTATTGTGTCACCTGTGTTTACAAATGTAAAACCACACAAATGACAAGCATAATTTCCTTTGCTGAACGGCTCGTTACTGCCACAAATTTTAAAATGACGATTTAAATCTTTTTTCCAACTATATGCATCCCTACTGTCAGTTTCTGGTTTGTTCAAATGTTTTTCGTGAACTGCTTTAATGTGGAATTTAGAAAATTCTTCAAAATCTGTTTTAAACTTACAATAGTAGCAAGTAAAAATTCCTAAATTTGAACAATTCATTCCATCTAAGCGGTCAATAGGCTGACTGAGTTCTGGACTTTTGTGTGTTTTTATGTGCTCAGCGCAGTTTTCATTTAAAACAAAATAACGTGGGTTTGCATCATCGTGATGGGGGCATTTGAATTTGCCAATTAACTTATCATTTAGCATTTTTTTATGGTGTGGAACAAACTGCCCAAGTGACATTAGTCTGTGGTTAACTGTATTTTCATGGTTTTGCAGATACTTATCTGATGTGTATTTAGTTCTACAGACAGGACACGAAAAAATTTTTGCGTTCTCTCTCGATTCACGATGTTTTTGCAACGATTGCTTTGATGCAAAAATGTTTCCACAATAATTACATTCAACTAATATAAAATATTAAAATTTGTTAAAAAATTGCATTTAAATTTCAAATAAAAAACTCATGGTCATTATTTCCAGTGGGTTTTTTTCTTTAAATAAAATTCAATGTTAAAATTATTTTGAGATAAAAGCAAAAAATCTTACCTTAATGAGATGGTGTTTATAATTTCTGGTAGTAAATTTTTCCGATATTTCTAATTTAAAATTAGACCAGGTTGGTTCAAATGATTCATCTCCTTTGTGCATAACGTTTGGATTGTCAACAATTAATTTATTATAAAGTAAAAACTCAAACGAAGAATGAAACATTGTTATTAATTGCGTTTCAAAATAAGTGCATTTAGTTGAACTTTGTCTGTATTTTGCGGCAATCAATTCAGCGTGTACTTGAATTAATAAAGAAGACAGTTTAAACGCAAAATGATTGTCAATTATCTTAGTTATTTTGAATTTTTTGTCCAATTTTTCAGCTTTAAGGTAAATTAAAGTATTTTTTCAAGCTTTAAAATTTAAAAAAGTGTTAATTTTAAAATAAAAATTGAATATTTGTTATAATTTACTTTAAAATGCTGCATTTAAAAGAGGAGGATAAGCAGACAGCGATGATTTCTATGTTTAAAATATTAAAAAAAATTATAAAACAATACAATTTATTTATTAAAATGATTTACTAAGTTGTTTTCAATTTCATTTGCAAGCCGAACTTTTTCAATCCAATCGTCTTCTTTAAAAACAAAATCAACTTTATGAAACGGGAGCATTCTTCTATAATTTTTTTCAGCAAATGGGATAACACAGATAAACAAATCAATAAAGGCCCACCCAAGAAGCTAATAAACAAACAAACAAAAAAACCAATCAAAAAGGGACCGCTCCTAAAGCTCCAACGATATTAGATACATGGCTACACAGAACAACTGTACCACCAACCTAATCATTAACATTTTTTATTATTTTTTGTAATTGTAATAAAATACTTTTAATCTTGTAGTGCACGTGTCTCGGTGAAGTGACTGGTGCTGGCGGTCAAAAACAAGCAAAGCGGTTTGTCTAAATTTTTAGTGGCAAACCCTTTTATTAGAATGTGAGACAAAAGAAGGGCAAAGACTAAAACAATGAACAGCAATGAATGGGCGGATTGCAATGAGTACAGTACGGGTGTGCAGTCCTCGAGAGCCAAAGAGAGCCAGCTAAGCTGACAGGTGTCAGTGCTTAAGTAGTCGATGACTGAATCAACAGAGAGCAGTTCTAATCATCGATGAACTTTGAGCTGATGAAAGAAAACCAGAGTGTGAATAGCGATTAACGGAAGTGGTTGTTAAGCGGTGTCACGGCTGGGCTCAGCGCTACTGTACTGGCTGGGATGACGGTTTTTTTGTTTTTAAGCAAAAATAAAGTAAAAGCGAGAAGACTACAGGCAAGCGAATGCTATTCGAGCAAGCAGTATGATTTCCTTTTATGAATTAAATTTGGGTCGACTTCCTACGTTAAGTGTAGCGTTCACTGTGCCACGCTGGCATTGAAGTTTACGTAGACAGTGAAGCTAAAATCTTCTTTCCTCAAACTTCACTTTCTCTTTCTTTCGTTCACGCTTATTGCGCTGCCAACCCTCATCACTTACAGAAAAGGGGACTGTGGCCCAGCGGATAAGGCGCCTGACTACGAATCAGGAGATCCAGTGTTCAAATCACTGCTGTCCCTGGAATCCTTGGATTCTTTTTTGTATCCGGATCTTTTTTGTGTTTCTTTTATCCTCGAGGAACGTTCCCTATTGAGCAAACTCCAAAAAAATAATTTTTTTAACTTTTAGCAAGGTTAGTTAACAAGCAACTTTAGTACTGCTAAAAAGGTCTTGCCAAGAGGTACTTTTTAGCTATTACTAATAGTATTACACTTTGAGGATACCTACTCTGGTACTTCCGGTTTGAAAAAAACGATAAATTTTTTATTTTTTATCATTTTAAACAAAAACAATTAAAACTAGAATAAAAACTTGATTTAAAAAATAAAATAGTGCCCCTTGCGACACCTGGTTGCACATAATCAAGAATGAAAGCTCTGTAAGTTGTTGTACAAAAAAACTTCACATCAACAGAACAGTGTCAACGATTCCTTTGACTCGTCGACAACCGTGCCTTGAAAACACCTCAGTATCACCGGAAATGTACTCATTCTGCTCAGCCATTTGCTCGATTTTATCTGTACCAGGAATGATATTTGGATTTGTAAAATTTCGGTGGTCTTTCAGGTACTGAACAATACACTGCTTCACGTGAGATCGTTCTAGTGGCAGAAAAGGCAGAAACTGGTCAATGAAAGCTCGTTCAACTAGTTCACTATCCTTGAGGCCTCCTTCTCTGGTAAAAACGCCCGTGTTGAAAAGGTCTTTAAAATTCTCCAGCATTAGTGTTTCACGAAAATAGCCGTCTCTTTTGTGATTCACAACAATGTCGTTGATTTCT